AAAAAAAATATATATATATATATATATATATATATATCAATAATTAAAATTAATAATATTACTAGATATGACGGTTTATGGCTGAATGATAGTAAAAATAAAAAATAAAAAAATCATTTATGTATCCAATTAAAGACTATATTATTTTGTATTCCAAGGCATTCTTTTCGACTTCACTGTCGTTATGGATTAAATAAAAGTTAGATTGTAGACTTGGTTTAAAGGCAAGAAAAACAATGTTTATAATTTTCGATGTTAATTTTGACCCTAGCATTCCTTATTTATCTTCTTAAGCCTTAAATGCAAGAACTCTTTGTTATGGTAAGATTACGGTTTATACTTTGTTCATTTAATAAAGTCGTTGTTTATAGAAATAAAAATAAAAATAAAAAAGTCTATAGTATAGTTATTAATATTTAATTATTATCATACTTGAACAAGTAAATTATATACAAACTAACATCACAAGCTGCAACATGTTTAAAAAAATAATGATTGCAATTATAACTTAATAAAACCATATTGTGTATATTTCAAACTATATATATCACATAAATAACTTCCAAACCATGCATGAAGCGATGAAACCCATGTTCTTGCTTGGAACCACAACTTACGTGAAAGGAAGAGATGGAACATATATATCCGAGGCTGCGCCGGAAAACAAGCCACCCCAGCTAAGCCATTTGCAAAGGATAAATTCATATTCACAATAATAACTCCTTTTGTCAAACCCTTATTTGGCATGCGTACTTCATTATCAACTTATAATTATTATATTTGGGGTCAACGGATTGGATAGCTAAGCCCCAACTCTCCTTTCAATTAACAAAAACAAAGTAGCAATTCACAACCTGTCTTAGAAAATTCACTTTCAATGTCCAAACAAACACATACACACATTTTTTTTTATCAGCAAAATAAATAATATATTAAAGAGGTAGAAGGGTATCCTTAACACATATACACAAATATTTGTTATCATTATTCTCGTATTTAAGAGTTGATCAGAGAGAAGGGAACATTCATCTGAGCCTTGGGATTGGTCATCTGAGCAACATGGAACCAGAAACAGCAGAGCTTGGATTACTTTCTGTGAAAGAACTAGCAAAGAAGGCACTAACCAAAGTTCCAGAGAGATATGTTATTGCAGATATTGACCCTCCAATTTTATCTAACACAAACTCTTTGCCTCAGCTCCCTGTTATTGACCTAAACAAGTTGTTGGCTGAAGAATTGAAGGGTCCTGAACTGGAGAAGCTAGACTTTGCATGCAAAGAATGGGGTTTCTTTCAGGTACATGTATCCATTTTCTTTTCCATTAATTATATTCAATGACGTATGTTAGATATCTTGTGTTTTTCTTTTCTCTTTTCTTCTCTAATATCATACGATAGTTATTTAAACTTTATATTTATTATAATATTTTCGACTAGCTATTAAATCATTTTCATGTTTAATATATGTCTTGTAACCAACAGTGTTAAATTAAATTTCTAAACAGCTGGGATCAACATAGTATTGAATTAGAGTATGTAGATAGTCTTAAATTCGAATACTAATATGCCTATAAATTCTACTGAGGAAAGAAAAAGCACAGTAAAGTTTAAAATAAAAGGATATGTATACAATGGAAATGATGTGGAGCAATAAGTTGCAAGCGTAATTTCACCAAGAGAGAACACAAAGGCTAATCTATAAAATTGTGGTTTTGTATATATCATAGCTGATTAACCACGGAATTAGCATGGAATTGGTGGAAGATGTAAAGAGAGGTGCTCAAGAACTGTTCAATCTTTCAATGGAAGAGAAGAAAAAGCTTTGGCAGAAACCAGGAGATATGGAAGGGTTTGGTCAAATGACTGAAAAGCCTAAAGGGGAAGCATCAGATTGGATAGATGGATTCTACATTTTAACACTTCCATCTCACTTTAGGAAGCCCCACCTATTCCCTAATTTACCACTACCTTTCAGGTGCATGCTCTTTAAATCTTTTGTTTCAATTCCCCCTCCTTGTTCAAGAATTGATTATTAAATTAAATGTTATTTATTATAAAAATAATAATTATTAATTCAACTTTGTATCCTTTAGGTCAAAGTTTGATACGTTTTAGTTCAAAATGCAAATTAAATTAATTGTGAAAATAAGATTCCTAGTATTGTTTTTAGATTTCATATATATAGATTTCAAAATTATTATTGTCATAGTGATAATAAAGATAGTAGTGGTGCTGTCATCATCTAACTATTTTACTCTTGAAATGATAAAATAATAAAGTAGTGCGAAGATGAGACAATAAAAAAGGAGAATAATATTTTACAAGTAAAATAGTAATCTTAAAAAAAAAAAAAGAAAAGAGAATTACTTTAATATATATATTTGTTAATTATTTGTAAGGTAAAAGGACATAACAAGATGAAAGGTCTGTTTTAATTTAATATATATATATATATATATATATATATATATTAATAAAAAAATGAAGTGTGTACATAGGTTTCA